TAGTTATATTGAGAGGACTGCAATAGTTATATTGAGAGGACTGCAATAGTTATATTGAGGTGACTGCAGTAGTTATAATGAGAGGACAGCAATAGTTATATTGAGAGGACTGCAAAAGTTATATTGAGAGCACTGCAATAGTTATATTGAGAGGACTGCAATAGTTATAATGAGGTGACTGCAATGGTTATAATGAGGTGACTGCAATAGTTATATTGAGGTGACTGCAATAGTTATATTGAGGTGACTGCAATAGTTATATTGAGGTGACTGCAATAGTTATATTGAGGTGACTGCAAAAGTTATATTGTGAGGACTGCAATAGTTATATTGAGGTGACTGCAATAGTTATATTGAGGTGACTGCAATAGTTATATTGAGGTGACTGCAATAGTTATATTGAGAGGACTGCAATAGTTATATTGAGGTGACTGCAATAGTCATATTGAGAGGGCTGCAATAGTTATATTGAGAGGACTGCAATAGTTATATTGAGAGGACTGCAATAGTTATATTTAGGTGACTGCAATAGTTATATTGAGGTGACTGCAAAAGTTATATTGTGAGGACTGCAATAGTTATATTGAGGTGACTGCAATAGCTATATTGAGAAGACTGCAATAGTTATATTGAGAGGACTGCAATAGTTATATTGAGGTGACTGCAATAGTTACATTGAGAGGACTGCAATAGTTATAATGAGAGGACTGCAATAGTTATATTGAGAGGACTGCAATAGTCATATTGAGAGGGCTTCAATAGTTATATTGAGGTGACTGCAATAGTTATATTGAGAGGACTGCAATAGTCATATTGAGGTGACTGCAATAGTTATATTGAGGTGACTGCAATAGTTATATTGAGAGGACTGCAATAGTTATATTGAGGTGACTGCAGTAGTTATAATGAGAGCACTGCAGTAGTTATAATGAGAGGACTGCAATAGTTATATTGAGGTGACTGCAATAGTTATATTGAGAGGATTGCAATAGTTATATGAGGTGACTGCAATAGTTATAATGAGGTGACTGCAATAGTTATATTGAGGTGACTGCAATAGTTATATTGAGGTGACTGCAATAGTTATATTGAGGTGACTGCAATAGTTATATTTAGGTGACTGCAATAGTTATATTGAGGTGACTGCAAAAGTTATATTGTGAGGACTGCAATAGTTATATTGAGGTGACTGCAATAGTTATATTGAGAGGACTGCAATAGTCATATTGAGGTGACTACAA